TCTCATAGTAAGGAGCAAACTCATTATCAGAATCACAGTAGGATGAAGTAGAAAACTCAGTACAATAGGTGAGTCTTTAAACACGCTATGCCAATGTTACATAATGCTTAAAGCACCTTCTTGATTACAAAGAAGAAAAAGATGTTTCCTTTCTACTTGTTAAAAACATGACAACATGCCGAAGGCAGGATCACTTATACTTAGCTACATGTCACCAAGTGGGGGCTTGCATATAATTTCCATTCACCAAGAAACGGGATCTTCAAGCAGCCAATCAGCAGTCACCTTATTAGCCCCAGTTAGGAGCCACTAGGCCCCTGCTCTCCCCAGAAGACGGGAACTTTCCCATAACCAACCTGCCTTTTCACCTTTTTCTTGCTCCCTCCTGGCCTTCATTTTGTATGGCACCTGAGAATTTCGTTCTGTATACTCGATGGATACTGCCCAAATCACTGAACAAAGTCAATAAAGTAAATCTCACACATTTAAAGTAAATTTTTAAAATTTGCTCAGTTAAATTTTGTTTTTGAATATTCTTTTACATTCTTGGCTGGATCTCCTGTAACAAAAGACAGATTAACAAGAGAAAAGCAGACACATTTATTTAGTATAAGTTTTATGTGCCATAAGAGCCTCCATAGGTGGCTGAAGAAGTGGTTATATCTGAGTGTTTATATACTATTCTAGGTTTGATGAAGCATGGGAAGTGATCAAACCAGAGGAGTATGAGGGGATGGCAATAAACTGAGGGAAACTAAGCAAGGTCTGTTTGTTCAGAGTCTGGTTGTCTCTCTACCCCTGGAGATAAGAGTCTGGTTGTCTCTCTACCCCTGGATGTAGGGGGGTGCCTGTTAGGAGAGGCCTGTTTCAGGAGGTCAGAACATTCCCTTAAACCTACCATTTTTCAGATTTCTTTAGCTTAAAATATTCAGTTGGCCTAGGCACCATATTTTGGGGATGCATGTCCTGAACCAATCAATTTACAATGCACAAACATTCTCCTTTGGCAACATTAAATTTCAAACCATGTGTTGCCTTGATCGCTTGCACTTTCACATGACTAACTATTTGGGTTTTATTTTGTAGTTGCTTACAGAGTCTTACCCAATTTAGGTGTAAAGAGTAGCATAATGCTGGGTCTGATCTTA